AGATCTCTCGGGCCTCGGCCACCCTTGTTCGTTACCACGTCCGGGGCTCATGAGTTTGCAGCGCTCCGGTGTTTTCGTCGACGAGCCGGTTCGTTAGTTATTGACATGTTTCCTCACACGTTCCGGCATTCCGCCGCGCATCCTATTGTCAGGTGACCGCGATTCGCGGGCTAATTACGATCGCGGTCCTCCCCACCCCATTTTCATGATAAAAGATGCGCGGACCAATGTCAGGTCAGAATCACATATCTGCCGAGTGATGTTAACGGCACGTATGCCGTTTCTGAAATACGGTCGGATATTAGCTCTTCTATAAACTTGGGCTGAGTAATTCCCATGACTGGAGACGTAAGATGAGAGACTTAAACGCCGGGTAAGAAAAGTAAACCAAAAATAGCAACGTTCCTAAAATATATTAGAGAAACTTGATGGCACTAGATAATGATAGGTTGGTTGTGCCAGCTACAAAATTGTGTTTTGATACTGCGAGCTTGTAAGTTGTAAGTAAGGAAAAACAAATAATATTTATCGAAAATCCAAGTTTCAATGTCTAATCTTGTCCGTCGTCAGATCCCGAAAATTGGCAAAACAGTTTTTCGTCGGTGCTTCAATAGGAGAGATCGGGCAAAATTTGGAAACTTTACACACTTTTAACTCCGTATATACACAACTTTGAGGTTCTAAAAGTGGTTCCATTGGTTTCCTCGTGAAATTATCCTCGATAAGCACCCCTTGAAATCCGAAATGTGACGAAATAAACATCAAAATTTGCAGATTTAGCAAAAAAATTTATGTCCGACCTCTCTAATTGACGATCCACCGTGCGGCGATGACTTCTCACGTGTGATAAGTAGTTGTAATAACCGGATATCACGGAGTCGCGGTTGACAGGGAATTTTCATAAATCATAAACTGTGTTTCAAATGAGATTTTAAATTTTCTAAATCCCTGCGGATCTTTTCAATTAGAAACCCTAAGAACCGAACTCGCAATTACTTGTAAGGTTCGTAATGCTCGTCGAGTCTTTTGATAGCTGCACTGGAGGAAGTCGAACGACAAGGACTATGCAATCGCACCGTTAACATCGTTGCTGCACTTGTTTGCTCAAAAATTTCATACGAGCATTATGCCAGGCTGACCCAAAAACCGTAGGTGTGAAACGGAATCATAATTATTGTCCCGGTATCTGCATGAGCACTTGCGGGTTGCGCCACTCAGGTCGTATAAATTATAATTTTTCGAGGCGTATCGGTGCTCATTGTTGTTTGTCCGGAAATTTTCGAGCTATATCAGCCGCAGCTTTCTTTTTATTTCTTTCACTGTCTCCCCGTCCCCGGCTCTAGCTCTCCTCTTATCGTCTTCCGAACGGACGTATCTATGCTAAAAAGAACTATGTGCATAGGGTTTACGTGAGACATAGGTCCTTCCGGCATTAATACGTTCAAATGGCTGCATTTGCAAGCGCGTTTTGTTTTCGAACCAGACTCATTATAATTATAGACATTACAGCCAAAAACGGGGTCGAGATAACTTTAAGGAGATAAAAATGAAATGTTGGGACTCAAACTATTGCGTAAGGAGGCAACGAGACTTAATTTAAATTGAATGTGAATGACCGCTTTAAATTATTTTTGTCAGAAAAATTGAGGCTTTTCCTATAGGTGGATCCAGGATGTCCAATACTGTCGTGAATGAAAAGTAAAATTGTTGGGTATTTTCTCATTTTCAGCTTTTTCAACTTAAATCCTAAAATTTTTGTTCGAGGTTATGATCTCTTGTAATGAACCAATCGATACATCGAATCACTGTCGTGTACGATCCATGGGAACATAAATCAAATAACTATCCGAAAAAATTAGTCGGTTTCTCTCCCCTTGAATATTTTTCTTACATTACTATTATCGATACATCGAATCACTATCGTGTACGATCCATGGGAACATAAATCAAATAACTATCGGAAAAAATTACTCGGATTTTCTATGTATGTATGAGCCGCTTTTACGGCGCGCTAGGGCGCTCTGCGACGCCTATTCTCCACAGGAATCTGTCATGGTAGAGATCCTCCGGAAGCTGGCATCTCTCCATCACTCGGTTTTTCAAGGAGAGAAAAACCGAGAGGGGGGGGGCACTCGGTTTTTCTCTCCTTGAATATTTTCCTTTCTCTGTATCCTCTTCTCCTTTCGAAGAGAGGTGCCAATACATAAAAAGGGGGTCTGTTCGATTCAAAACGCCAAAATAGGTGTTCGGATCGTCCGCGACAGCGTGCACATTTTGCTTACCTACCTATACCAAGTGCGAGAACTTCCATATGCCGACTTACAGTACCGCGTACTTGGATAGCCGAAGTTTTTGAAATAACTTGCGAGAGCGCCAAGTGCAAGTTTCCATCAATTTCCCGCAACTCGGAGTGATGAGCCGGCCTCGCAGGCCCAATCCATCAATATCAGTGAAACAACTGGAATAGGTGAGTCGCTCTATGAAGAGATGTGCGGTTCGCTCGGGTCGGACGCCCAGTGCTCGCAGCAAGCGCAGCGCTAACAAAGCGAAACCGCAAAAATTTGATTGAGCGCAGCGCAACATTGATGATCAGCAATATATTTCTCCGCAGAATTCACCGGTGCCGCTTTCAGACCGGGAATATTCACCGAGAACCTCGTCAATCCCTGGTTACGTTGTTGCCCCTTGGCGTGAAAATATATGATGAAAACAGGGAAAATGGGCCTCTAAGTCACAGAGAAGGGGGAAAAACCGAAACGACCGTTTTACAGGTTGAAGTCTTCGATCTGTTGGTGTTGATTTTGCATCGCTTGGGGCAAAGTGAATATACACTCCTTTTGAGGGCTTTATAATTATTGAAGAGTCATACATTGCTTTCAAGAACTGTCGTCGTAGTTGGTGCTATTGCATCTAGAGAAACGCGATTAATTTTAATTACTCATGACGTTACTTTACAAAGAATTTGATGACTTGAAGTGACGCAATGTGTTGGCCAATAATCTCCAAATGTTAATTAAAGAGGAATAATTTTGATGGGACCGTTCTGAAATTCCATTCCTCATCCCTGAAAAAGCACCACTATACCTATTGTGACAAGTATTTTAGAATTCTGAAACAGCGGAGCTATAACTTTCAGCGAGTTCAATACTGGCCTGAACCCGGGTCTACGAACGATGATTTTGGCGAGAAAAGCAGGTTTTGCGGGTCTGCGATTGAATGCCAAAAAATCTGCATTTTTTGCCCGAATCGACCTTCAGACTCTTGACTAGGCCAGTTTTAAACCAGAAAAGAGACTAGAAATGACAACATTTTTATGCATTCCGTAAACTGTAGACCTTCAATGAGCATGAGCAAAAAATCATAGAATCGAGGAAATCTAGCCAGGAAGTGCCTGAACACGGACTTTAGCGACCCCTTCCTTAACGTCAGGAGTCAAGAAAGCCAACGCTCTACCTGGAAGCCACCACCAACGTTACGACACAAAAATAAGTCATCAGATCTCATTCAAGAGACAAAAGTAATATCGCCCATTGTGGTCGAGGACTTTTTATTTTTCAATTAGTCTCGGTTGTCAAGTCTCAAACAAAATGACATCCGCTTACATTAATGCGGTTTACCAGGACACCCGACACTCGGCAACGGCGAGTGACGTCTCGGCCGAAATCGAGCCTGATATCGAAATAATCGATTTTGGAGGAGCATAATAAACAATGCCCGCATTAAAGAGATAGGAATCGGGGAGGAATGGCGATGGATGAAGCGATTGCGACGCTCTCAGCGCTACGTTTCGATGAATCGATTTATCCATCATTTAAACCTATGAGAAATGATCGAGTAGTAGGATGTTCGCGACCAACAACTTAATGATCGATTCTTCACCATAGGTCAAATGGGGTAATATCGATTGTCGTTCATTCACGCCTCACCTGTGGGGCGCTCTAAGGAGGGCGAAGGGATTGTTGCCCGCGTTGAATGATGAGCTTGCGTCGATACAATTTATCGCCGCTAATCAGCTTCGGCAGGGATGCGCACCGGTCGTTGAAGCCACGATGATTGATAGGACTAAATTAAAACAAAAGAATAAGGCCGGATTCTACATTCGTCTCTGAATTTCATACGAAAGGATTTGAGTGAGAGTTCGGGGTGCACACACTGAGAAAAAAACATGATTAAAATCATCTCATCAGGGTCGTTCAATACGCGCTTTTAATTAATAGTAGTCTTAAGCAATACTCGTGATATTTCACCATTAAATAATAGGTTTACTAACGTAGGGGTAAATTTACCGTACACTGGAAAAAAGAAAACACATTGGATCTAGAGTTTAGACTCTTGAAAACATTGACAAGAAAAAATACTCTTAATTCAATCGGAGTTTTGCTTGAATCAAAACGAAATCCGCTTAAATTAAGAGGCTTGGTTCTTGATTTAAACTAGATTCTGATTGAATCAAGAGTACTTTTTCTTGTCGATGTTTTTAGGAGTCTGGACTCTAGATCCTATGTTTTTTTTCCAGTGTATTCGTTACTCTTCTTAAATATTTTATCTATCAAGATAAAGTTGAAATGAAGAGCTGAAAAAAACAGAACCTTTAATTGCTTCAAGAAACATCGCGAGGAGTTTGTTTATTTAATAGATTTTCGGGGATACTTCGAGGCTCGAGAAAAACTCGTTAAGCATGATCAATTTCCTTGCCAAATGGTGGAATCTCTTCGCCGAGGAGGCAAGCGCTTTCAGTTTTTCAGTGCAGTTTTCCGCGTTGTCAACCGAGTTGCTTTCACATCTCCTCGGGAGCATCATTAGTTTCAAACACAGCGCGGAGCTATCAAAAATCATGATTGATAATCAAGACTTCTCGTCTTGGAATTATTTTTAGATGTTTATTTTGTGTGCTGCATCAAAATTCTGTAAGTAGCTTTAGCCTCCCATCCCCAGGTATTAATGAACTTATCCCGAACAGCGAGCGCGTTGAATGACTTTGTGAATTGGACATGTTTCAGTTGTACGAGTTGAGTGACGACCCAAAACGGAAGGAGTTTTTGGACGACTTATTCAGCTTCATGCAAAGGAGAGGTGAGTCATCTGTCTTTTCTTTATTTGCACGGATTTTTTCAACGATTTAATCACTCTAATATCGCTATCATTAATCTATACCTTTTCTTATGTACAATTCTTCTCCTATGATTAATATTTTGATTCGATCCGCCACGTTTTCCGGACCGATTTCAATCGTCAAAATTTCGAAGAGGGCCACATAGAAGGTCGGTCAAGCAGCTCTACCTTGGCAAATTCAAGGTTCAGTCAATTTATCAACCAAAAATAAAATAGAACCCCCATTTTTTTTTTTTTTTTTTTTTTTTTTTTTTTTTTATATCAATCCAAAGATTGACTTTTTTCCACATTTGATTCACATCAATCAAATTCAGTGCTTTTCTCGGTGATGGTAACCCCAGTAACTATACGAGACGCACACAAATTACGACGCGACGATTTGAAAACGTAAACACCCCTATTAATATCAGCCACTTTTGAATAACATGAAATTATAATTAGTCTTATCTAAATTAACACGAACAATAACAGTGACTCGAGGAACAGAGGACTTGGATCGGAAGTTTCCCAAGGTGATATCAATTCGGCAGGAGGAAGGAAGGTTTCGCGCGTTTTAATTCTCTGATATCGTAGCCTCAGGCGGCGCACAGTGGATCGAGTCAATAGGGGAGGTCGGACAGAATTTGGAAACTTTAAACGCTTTTAACTCCGTTTATACATAACTTCAGGGTCCTAAAAGTGGTTCCAATGGTTTCCTCGTAAAATTTTCTACTCAAAGAACCCCTAGAAATGTAAAATGTGACGGAATAAGCACCAAAATTCGCAGTTTTGGTCAAAAATTAATGTTCGACTTCTATAATGGAATCGATCCACTGTGCGGCGGCCCGATATTGGTGAGCAACTACCAGCATGAGCAATAAACAATTAAACGATAGAACACGAGTTTTACGCGTATTTTAATCACTTAACAAGGACCGCACAGTCGCATTTCAGAGTCTCCGGGGGGATGATTTGATGAGTACCTCAATTTTAGTCCGGAGAGTTCAAAAATTGAACAGGTTCAATTAAAGAGGAATCCCGATTGGAGAAAATACATCTGAGGCGTCGATGAGTATTCGAGCAATCAAACGCTGACGCTAGAATATTCATCAGATCGCTCATAGACTGATGAGATGAGGTTAATCTCCTATTCTTATGATGAGTTCTTGATGTGAATCGTTTAAGAATCCGTTCACCGTTTCAATTAAATCGGCCGGGGAATGATTTTTCACCGAGGCGTTGAGGAGAGCTGTCATCGGGCGTCGAGGCCGAGATCAAGCGCAATCGGATTTTAATCGGTCCGGTTAAGGGTGCTGCACGCAATTAAAACTGGAAGGCAACTCGGATTGGTTCCTAATTGTGGGGACGTTAAACAAATGAGACCGATTACGCCTAACCAAGGCGACGATCGGGGGAGGGTCGTCCATACTCTGCCGTGCTGAGGTGAAACGTCGTATGAGCAGTCAATGGTTGCCGCGTTTCCTCTTATAAAGTACGATTTCTTAAAAAATGTGTGAATTTTTTTTTCCAGTGAATTTTTCAGAGGATTTTATTTTTTAATCCGATGCACACTGCCGGATTCACCTACTTGCCGCCCCCTCTCTCATTCGTTTTGAAACTCGATAAAAACCATCTAATGAACGTGTCAGCGGGGGACGGGTGCATAAGACGCATTTACTCGGGTTGAACACATTTTTCGGGAAAGCCCTGTCAACACTACTAGCAAAAGTTCACGGAACTTTGCGCGGAAGTTAAGTTTCGTAAACCTTTCTCTAACGGACTAGGCCTTCCATTCATAAGAAATGAACGAAAAAATTATGAAAGAACAAACATAAATGTGGATCAATGATTTTAATTTCTGCCGCCACGCAGCGCAGACCGCACCGTGGCACCGTGTTTGGCGCAATGCGTGAAGTATTCCGACAGTCTTGTAGGCGCTATGCGTTTCACGCTGACCGCACTATGTGTGGCGCAATGCGTGAAGTATTCATGCATTCTTGTAGGCGCTATCCTTTTCACGCTGATCGCAATGACCGCACTGTGTTTCATGGAATGCGTGAAGTATTCGTGCAGTCTTGTGGGCGCTAATATGTATTACATGCCGATCGCCGCGCCGAAGGCTTCTCCTTTTCATCCCAAGTCCTCGTTATCATTTCTCTCTAAGTCGCACCGTTCCAGGCCAAATTATGTGTTTGGTCTCTCTCTTAACTCGACTTATTGAAGGTGCTGTCTCTTGTATCACTAAGAGACGACAACATTAGAAATTACTATACTCTCAGGGAATGAGAGATTTTGTCGCCTTTTCTCGTTTGTAATTTTATTTTTATAAATCCGATTTTTTTATACCTACACTTTAAAAAATTGCAAATTTTTGCCTTCCCTTAGATTTGCCGCCATGGGCCGCGGCCCCCTTAGTCCGGCCCTACCGATGTATACTCGAGAATTTGGAGGAAAAATTCATAATTTCTCAAAAAGCATTGATGAAGGATTTTTTTTCGATGCTTTAATCTATACGTCATTCACCGTCGGCGTCTCGTCTTTCCTCTCATCCTATTTGTATCAGACTCTCACGATGGATGGAAATCCGACCAAAATAGGAATTCTGCCGTGCTAAGGAAGAACGCCGTATGCACCTTTGAGAGTTGCCAGATTTCCTTCGATATAATGTTTATTTTTGAGGCAAGTTATGTTTATTTTTCCTTGAAATTTTCTGGAACTGTAGGTGAAATTGCGAGCAAAATTATTGGAAAATTTGGAAGAATTATAGTCATATGTTTACCAGGAAATTTGGGTTTTATCAAAGGAAATTTGGCAACGCCTGAAGGTTCATACAGCGGTTTTCCTTAGGACGGCAGAATTGTAGGGTCAGTTCCTTCAATTCAACGGCCAAGCAATTTTAATCACACAAAGGTCGAAAATAGTGGTATTAATAGAAACCAATTTCTTTCGGATGTAATTCTAATATTTGGTCCATCATGACGTCACATAAACTTCCCGAATATGACAAGGCAACGCCGCCTAGTTGCAAATTTCGGAAATTAGCATTCATTGCTTCACGGAAAAGTCACCAGTGTGCGATGGCAACTCTTCCGTGTAAAGGAAGAACGCCGTATGAACCTTCGAGAGTTGCCAAATTTCCCAGAATTTAACATGTATTTTCGAAGAGAGTTTTGCATATTTTTCTTTGAAATTTTCAGATGTTTAAGATTTAATTGTGAACAAAATTCTCTGAAAAATCGAAGGAAAAATATTCAGGATTTTCCCAGTAAATTCGTTTTTTATTGAAGGAGTTATGGCAACGCCTGAATGCTCATACGGTGTTTTTCCTTAGCACGGCAGAACTCTGCTTGATCGGTGAACGTCGAGCCGATGAAATAACGACCGCGTTATTAATGAGGCAAGGGTCAAGCTGGTACACTGCCGGTTTTAGTCAAAACAGCGTATCTGCATCAAATTCAAGTTGGATGTACGAGGTTCCTCGTAAGCCTGGTTCCAGGACTCCGCGCCTCAGTCCCAACTCGAGGGCGCTCATCTATTTGACCTTTCGCTGGCTACGCGTAATTATTTTTGATCCCCCACCCCCGTTCCGAAGCCTCCTCTCGATTTTTCTCCTCCGAATAAAAAACAAAGCGTTTCGGATCCTGGATTTATAATCCTAATCAATCAATGGAGTGTAAATCCGTATCAGCGCGCGCCATGCCGCGTCTTTGCCCGCTCCCTCGACGGCTCAAGATGACGTCACATGGTTGCCAGGTGACCAAAGACGGATTTAAGTAATTTCCTCCTGGGGGACGTAACAATTCTTGGCGATGAACCTTGCCGTCAGTGGCAAGTTTGCAGATTGGCACCATTGTTTTTTCTCCATTTAAATCCATTGAAAATGTCGATATGGATCGTATTCGATACATCAAACGGGTGAGATTGTATCGATATCGATTGGTTCAAAACATAAACATAGCCTCAAAAATAAATTCAGAAATCTGAGAGAGCGGGTCTTTTGTAACGGATTTTTTATTCTTTTGAGTACCAAATGCCAATGCAAAGTGAAATCGTCAGGAAATATCTCATTTTCAGCTTTTCCAACTTAAATTCTTACAGTTTGGTTTGAGGTTATGTTCTATTGTTTTGAACCAAACTATACATCGAACCGTTATCGAATACGGTCTATTAGGTGAGGCAAGCTGCCTTACCGAGGCATATAAATTTAAATGGAGAAACAACAGAGTTGTCAGCTTCCAAGAATAGCCACTGCCTTGGGATCGTTAATTGTTAAAATGGACTACATTATGCATAAAAAACCACTATGTATGGCTCATCAATGAAAGCACCTATCTGCATACGTAAAGAAATGGCGCATACGTCATTTTTAAAATGAGTGAAAAATAGTTGCTCCTTTTCGCAAAATGTATTCGAAATAGTCAAAAAATACTGGAAAATCCCCCTAGTATTTATCGGCGTGTTTTATTCGTACGTTTATCAGATGTTTCAACAACTTTGCAACAATTTTAGACGAGAAAATGCAAGTCTTCACTCATTATAGTTGTATAATTTTTACAAATATTTAATAGAAGTCTTGATTATTTTCAATGCCGATTTTTTTAACTAACGTCTCTCTTTGCAGTCACGTTGGCATCTGCAAAAATCAATTTTTTTTTCTCTTAGCAACAATGGCAAGGGAAGTGAGTTTCATCATGCCGTGTCATTCAATGAGACTCAATGAAAGCAAGGTCTTTTTGAAGGTAGTGAGCACACTTGCTGGTCCGATAACAAGATTGATTTTAAGAGAAACTAAGATACACTGTGGATTAGTGTCAAGCAAAGTTGAATACACCGTGCATTTGTCGAACACGGGGAAAATGGCATACTTTAGAAAACTGAGATTAACATAATGGGACCTTCATTTATGATTTAAATAATAACTTCAGTCAGATCCGAATGAGTTTTCACTCTCCAATTAACTATCTTTTTTTCTCCACTGCGCA